TTCCAATCTCTAACATTCTGTGGTTCTGTTAATACAAGTTGGAGAGGATAGATCTTGTAACACTTCTGATGACCCAAAGTACTTCAGAAGGGCATTAACCACATATATTTGTGGTCTAAAATACACTTGTATAAAAACATTATGTAGTGAAAGAAAAGACTGTTTCCCTTCTTTCAGCATACTGAAAGCAAGTTTTACCAAAATCTTAGTTTATAGAAAGTATAGGAAAAGTTAATACTCACATGCCGTATCACTCCTTTTTCCAGCAAGCTCTGTTTTTTGGCAGTCATGACAAAGTAGTGTGTATCATCTTTGTAGTAGACAATGTTCTCCAAATCAATACCTTGTGACAGAACAAAAGACATGGTAGTGAAGGAACAAGTTACATGCTACGTGTAACACATGAGCTCTGTTGGAAGAAACAAAATTGAAACTACATGGTTAGAAAGCTTTAGAGAAAGAATGCCAAGCACCTTTCTCCCATCTTTTTGATTACTTTAAAATTCAAATCTTCAACAAAACCACAAGCAACACATTTCACCTGCTTATAGCTACTTCTTAAAATATATATTTATCATCACTCTAAGGTTTGCATTCATATGTGGAGCACAGGAAACTGAACTCAGGATTCAGACTCTTCCTATTTAGGGCTCAGCTTTCCTGAAAACCTTCAGGGAAATAAGTTCTCCACTTCCGAAAAAAAATTACACACATCCGAATTATATACATCTGCTTTGCAGAGCTGTGTAGAACAGCTGTAAAAATGGGGAAGTCAGATTTCAAAGAGAGACAGCAATGACTACTTCCTTGCACTTGTTCATTTATTGATTAAACATGATACTGGAGTTACAAAGCTGTAATAATAAAGACAAATAGTTTTCACTGGAAATCTGTCAATTGCTGGCAAACCTGTTGCTTCTCGTAGATCCTGGAAGAACTTCTGGTTGAATATGAAGGCCACACCGCTGATCTCTTCTACTTTGGCTTCAGCTGTGGTGTTGCGATTGATGAAGTTTGCTGTGATAGCAATTGCTAGTTTACCACGGAACTCTTTTCGGCGAAACCCTACATGAAGAATAGAACAGTAACACCGAAAAACAGAGCATACTTTCAGAGAAGGCTCAGCATGTCATAGACAGGTGCCCTCAAAAAATAAAGAGAGAATGGATCTGAAGAATTACAACCTCCTCCACAGAGAAAGCAACAATTGCTTAATCAGCAAAATAAAAACTCTTGTTTAGGGAAAAAGCTCCCCTCTCTTTCTTACCTTTTCTCCAAAAATTGCAACTTGTATCAAAAATACTAAGATAGAATTCTCTAGTACACAGAATAACATTCAACACTTCAATTCCGACCTCCAAAAGTAAGAGCTATAACACTACTCAACTAAAGAAATAATGTAGGAAAAATTACTCAGGTCAAAACTCCATTGCTAATGGATAGGAAGAGGAAAAAGATGACTTTTAATAACAAAGGGATTTTTACATGAACTTTTAATCTCCCCTTTCACTAGTCAAATGTCTTTCCAGATTTTGATTGGGATGTTAAAGGCCATTTTTGTTTTAACTAATTTAAGAATACGTCCTATCTGAAAGCAAATTACAGACACACCATTACCTTCTAAGGTGTTCCTCCTGCCATCCCCTCCAATGATTACTTCAAACTCATACTCAGATACTGGATGGGTTTTTGGGTGGACCAATGCACGCCAACCTATTCCTGTTGGTAAAACTCCAAGTTAATGGCAATATAAACAGTGCTCATAAAGGAGCAAATAAAGAAAACCATTTCTTACTACCCATAATCTCTTCCTCATGTGGTCAGTAAAGATACATTGCAGGACAGCTATGCTGTTGACAGGGCTATTGCTGTCTTGCACAGCCACTCTGTGTGAATCAGAGGTGGAGATAGCTCCAAGTAAAACCCCCCCGACTATTACCTTTAAGGATCACTACAACCTTTATAGTTTCTCTACTATCTATTCAATTAATAGGATGCCAAAAAACAAGCCACCAACTCCTATGGCAATTAGAGAACAAGTTTCAAAATGATACAAAAGCAAAATATAGATCATTCAATGACATAAATATCTTCAGTGAACGTAAAGAAAGGAGTTGTTTTAAAAACGTATCTTCTAAGTGTAATAGGCTTAAATACTTTAGGAGCAGTTACAACCTACTGTATCGTGGTCTACTGCTGTGTAGTACTTCGGGTGACTGTTTTATATAGTAACTAATTTGGATTTGTCACTAGAAAGAATAACTCCTACTAAAAATTCAAGCAAAAGTGTATTAGTAATTATTCTGATTAATGGAGCATAAGGAAAGGACTTAAGAGTCATAAGCAGGGTTAAGGAGCAGGAGTCCTAACTCCTTAACTACCCCTTTCTCTGCTACCCATTTCAATGCTACTTGCTTTCATTCTCCTGATCTTCTGGAGGATAAACAAGCCCCTGAAATTCCACATTGACATGGATTTCTATTCCCAAGATCAAGGCAACCTTCAAAAGGATAAGCTGGAGCTGACGGATACCTGCAAAAAATGATAAAGAAATAAAAGAAAAGAGCACAAGTGCCCACATGTCTTTGAGATTACTGATGAACTGGTTTAAAGGCCAGCTGCTACTTTCTTTTTCCCTACTGCGTTCCCAGCACTTCATCCAGGCAGCACTGGTGTGTAATATGACTGCATGCCAAGAGACTCCCTATGTAGCTGAAACCACAGCCCTTTTCAAAGAATAAAAAGTAATTTTTTTTTTTTTTAATGTTTCAGTCCCAAATCAGCATGAGAAACAACCAGAACATGCAGTGCAGGAGAGGGAGGAAAGAGAGCACAAGCAGAACTATTCTTTTCTCACAGATGGCAACTAGCCATTTGATCAGCCTACCTGTAATACTGAACTGCACCTTCATCCTAACACCTTTGGGTTAGAGAGGGCATAGTAAGTTCCTCGCTACCTCTTCACTCCTTAGTTAATGTAGATAGCAGGTATGAAAATGACAGTGTGCAAACTCTTTTCATTGGAAGGAAGACACCTTACTGTCATGTTTCAGATACTGAAATTTAAAAAAGTTCCACCTAAGCACTAAATTTCATTTGTGCTGAGACACAAAAGAACACAACAGGAATAAAGTCCTGGAAGAATAGATATGACAAGAAGTCAGAAGGGAAAAAGCAATATGCAGGACTGACATACCAGAGGTCTACCAGTTTTACCATTCATTGACAAAAAAAAGAAAAGCTATTTTTGCTTTGGACAAGAAGTCAAATCTTATCTACTATGTTTGTGCCATTTTATACTTCCCACTTATGCCCAGTGGAGAACACAGACTGCTGGGCAAAAAATGTGCCATGTCCAGTAAATACTTGAAAAAAAAGAAAAACTGAAAAATAGTAACTCCTGCTCCACCAAAGCATTCAGCTTTCAAAGGAGACTGATTTCTCAGAATTTGAGAATCAAAATTATTCTCAATATGTAAACTGCTGCTTAATCAAAACTTATTCATAAGCTGACAATGTCCTCAATAATATCTTCCTCACTCTTACAAAAATTAACAAAGCCAAAATTGTTCCTCTTTTTTCCACATCAACATTCATAAGAACGTTCAAAAGCATTCAGTATTTTTTCTTTTTTACAAGTTGCTTACAATGCTCAAGAGAAACAGAATAATGTGGCAGCTGCAGGAATGTAACAGCAAAAATATTAAAATTATCCATAAAAAAAAGGTCTGAACCTCAAATGTACTTTCAGTTTAGGAAAAAGATATGCTTTGGAAAGTAATAGGTGTGAAAAATGACAGATATATATTGCACGTGAAATAATCTCACAGCACAATGTATTTTTTTCACATCTAGGTCTAGCTCAAAATACACTACGCAAAGGTAATGCTGAATTGTACCATAAGGACTTGAGAGCGGTGACTGGTGTAGGTTGAGTTTTAATGAGTTACCACCCCCGTGCCCTCAACCTAAGTTTCCCTTATGAAGAAAAAGTGCTGCTGTGTCCAGCAGAGGCTGTACTTACTGATATGGTCTATGGATCCTGCACAGAATTTGCCGTAAAACTTTTTGGCGCCAAGACCCCTCAAGTCATGTATGGTGAACGGCCACAAATGCAGCACATTATTGCGGGAAAAGGCATCCCTCTTTTCTATGACCACCACCTTGGCTCCTAGGAATGATAGGTCGATGGCTGTACGAAGGCCACAGGGTCCAGCCCCAATTATCAGACACTGCAAAACAACCAGCGCAGAGTAACTTTACAGTCCTAGGAGGAATTTTCCACATCTTCCAAGCATCCCACGGCTCTTAGGGGTAAGTGTTCTTCGTCTGCAACGTAAGCTGAAATTTCAGATCAGTCTTTCTATTATTACCTGCCACACTCTGCCATTGACGCATTAAAGCAGTTACTGCAACCTGAAAACAATATATCACAGAGTACTGAAAAGTCTGGAGAAGGAGGCAAGTCACCTGCCTCTTTTAAACCCTTGCTTTAAGGAGAGATGCTAAGGCATACTCTCCAAGGTACATAAGCACCTGGAGAATAATATTTCTGAAGGCTTCTCCCCCTCATTCCATCCATGTGTTTTTCTTAAAAAAAAAAGATCATGTAGTGTTTTCCTCTCATCTTCCAAAGCTTAAGCTGTCCTTTCTTCAATAGCACCAAAAACTCCTCATCAACCCTGAGCAGCATAGCAATGGCTAAGGCAGATAAATACAAGAGATGCTAGTGTTTTTATAATCATCACCATTTACAGTAGCACAGACATCAGTCAAGTCAGAGCACTCTAACTTATGCTGGTACTTTTACTATTGTAGCAAAGGAAACTTCAGGAAAGCAAAAATAATGTAAATAGGAAATTTGTGTGACTAGACAACTTTACTAAAATACTTCTTCTCCAATCTAGCCTTTATCACATCAAAGGTCTTTCATCTTCTCATATCTTTTTCCACTCTACCAATAACATCAGAGACCAATAACAACTTGAGAATGTAAAATATTTGCATATATAGCCTTGCAAGTACTTTCAGCAAAACAAACGATACAGCAAGATAATTTCTTTTAAGATTAAAAAATCAAGATAGCCAGATGACACTTCTTACCCACAGAAACTGAGGTCCACAAAGAAAGCAGGCATCATTACGTGCTTTCACAGGAATATAGTACACAGTCCATTTTGCCCTATCATATTTGTACTTTGATTTCTGTTGAGTATAAACCAGACCCACAGAATAAAGGCCTGGCTATAGTGATGACTGTTGCTGCCATGTGAGTATCTTCCAGATCCTTACCTACCCTTATGGCTAGACAACAAAGCCCTTCGAGTAATTCTAAGTATGCTAAACTTAACCAGAACCCAACCTCCTGATAAACAACCTATCCCAAAGTAAAGCTCTTTGTTCTTTGGTCATCCCCATATGCCCGTTTTACAGGTTGCTACATTTTCACCAGTTATTCACAGGGACATAAATTCTGCAAATGATGTGAAACCGAAAACATAACCTGAACAACAAATAGAACAGTACAAGTTACACCAGTGATGACGTAACAACTGACATGCAAAGTCTAAGAAAGACTACTGTACAAGAGAATTGGGGTTGTTCAGCCTGGAGAAAAGAAGGCTCCAAGGAGACCTAATAGCAGCCTTCCAGTACCTGAAGGGGGCCTACAGGAGAGATGGGGAGGCACTCTTTATCAGGGAGTGTAGTGAGAGGACAAGGGGTAACAGTTATAAGCTGAAAGAGGGCAGATTTAGACTAAATACTAGGAAGACATTTTTCACTGTGAGGGTGGTGAGACACTGGAACAGGTTGCCCAGGGGAGCTGTGGATGCCCCATCCCTGGAGGTGTTCAAGGCCAGGCTGGATGAGGCTTTGAGCAACCTGGTCTAGTGGAGGGTGTCCCTGTCCATGGCAGGGGGGTTGGAACTCAATGATCTTTGAGGTCCTTTCCAACCCAAACCATTCTATGATTTTGTGATTCTATAACATAAGAAGCTACATAAATCTGAAGGCAGAGATCCAAGTCTACAGGAAAGGGAAGAATAATAGCACTGCTTCTTTAGGGACTTCAGGAATCTGAAGGCATATGGGAGAAAAGTTAAATCCAACCACTGACCTATTAAATTCCAAACTAGACTTGTATATTGAACAAGTGTCCAATTTGTCATTTGTTAAAAGGAATAATAAATTTGGATCTAATATATTCTTCCAATTTAATATTGCTTTTTTTTGTGGGTAAGTATAAATCTCAAACATCACTTAGTCTTTTTTTTTTTAACTTGTAAAAAAATTAATTGAGCATGTCATATTTAATCAGGTAATAATTTTGCTCATCTGACAACTACAATCTTCAAAGAGACTGGATTCAATAAGCAACAAGATCACACTGAATCGGATGACATTCTTTTGTAACCTTCCCCATATAAAATAGTTATGATGGAGTACACAACAGCAGATGAATTGTACTAAAAGCAGACTATTAAAACTCAGGTCTGTGTAATCAAATTATAAATTAATTGCCTGTAATTTTATCATAGAAACGTATAAACATTTTTTTCTCCACAACCTTCCTCCTCCCCCCAAACAATGATATAGTTAACAACACATAGGTTAAGTTTGAGACCTAGATGTTCTGGATGTAAAACATGATACTCAGTGAAGCAATTCATGGCCAAAGTCGCCATTTTTTTAATCATCACAAAAATATTATGTTGTTATAAAACACAGAAAGTTTTAAGCACAATTAAAATCAGAAGAAAAGATCCTGCTCTCTTTTTTACCTTTAACACTTCTTTCAGTTTAAGATCTCTCAGAGAAACCTACCGTCTGTTACTATCACAAGCAGCAGTAACTACACCAGATGCCAAGTACAGCCAAGCAAATAAAGGCAGCTACTGCTCTTCCTTCTTCCCTTTCCCCTCAATGACTCCAAGCAACTGCTGCAACTCCATACACTAAAGCTGTCTCAGCTCTCAGAAACACTTCTTGCTCAAGATCTTTCAGACAGATTATATTAAGTTTTCAGTAACAATACCATGGTAATGGAACATTAAATGCGAACTGAAATCCTGTATTCCCTGTATAACCAATGAAGAGAGAGCACCATTTGTAACTATTTACATCTGAACAGTCTACTTCGACCAAGTCTTGCTTTCACGAATGCTGATTGCTCTGGTTCACTGGGATGCTGGCCATGTAATGCACTAACTGCCTAACTGCTGCCCAACTCCAGTCACAGCACTTCACCCTGATCAGTTTTTAAATGGGCAAGTAAAAGCTACGCTCCAGAGCATGAGAACTTCAAAATTAGTGTAAGTGTATAGAAGCAGAACTTCCTGAAGAATTGACTGACTTCTGTTCTGACAACATGGCTAAAACCCTAATCTTTATTTTAAATTCTATCACCTCCACATGCACAATTAAATTTCTGTATTTTTTAATCAGTGGTTTTCAAACTACATTAAACATCAGGAATATAAAACTAAGTGAGAAAAGAAACCAAATCAGATATGATTCAGTTCTCAAAAGGCCTCTACTTTGAATAGTTATCATCTCTCAGGAATTACATATAAACATTTAATGGCAGCTACTATTAGGACAGGAAACAGTAAATAACAAACATATATGACAAATACTAAAAGAATACATAGATTTATAATATATATATATGTTGTTTATAATCAACAAATTTTATATGTAAAGCCATACAAAAATCTTTTATCATCACAGGTATATATTCTTCAAGACATCCTAGCAAAAAAAAATTTAACTAAATTTCACTTTCTCTCAGCTACTAATTTCACTACTCAGAATAGCATGAATCCCAAATCCACAGTCTGTTTCTCAGTTGGGGCAGAGGGTGTGTCACCTTTAATTCATTCACCATCCACCTGTTTTACTTGTATTTCTGTACAGCATCTCATCAACAGCTTCTTAGAAACACTGGCAAATTACTCTCTGGCTTGCCTCCACTCCCCTTCCTCTTTTCCTTTACTCTTTTTCTTCTTCTTGTCACCCACACAGGAGAGCAGCTAAGGAATAAGCCCTCCCTTTCATCTGGCAGAGACCAGTTCAGCATAATCACTGACATGCACTTGAAGAGATGCTCTATAGACAAGGCTACATGAGCTTCTCGAAAGAATGTCCTTCGCTCATTTAAGTCACTAACCCCTCTATGTCTCCAGCTATTCTTTCAGAGCATTATCTGAAGTACTTCCCTCATTTCTCCCACTCCTCTCACCTTCAACTTCCCACAGGGTTTTGCCCATCTTCTCTTTATCATCTTCCTCTACATCTTCTTCCATCTACCTTTGCATCACCTCATTCACAGGCACTGGTTCAATCAGCTTGTCAGTGCTGCAGATTCACAGAACTTTACCAACTTAGAGTTGACTACTATTTGTCCAAGCTAAAATCTCTACCTTTCTGACATCTCCTCAGGGCTGCCTAGTTGTCAGTTCAAGCTCAACATGATAAAACAAAGCTCTAACGTCCTTCTAAACTTACCTCACCACTTCCCTTCTAGATAAGTGTCACAATCAATTTTCTGAATGTCTTTCATAGCTGGATGTCAACCTCCACTCATATTTAATTTTTGTATGTCCTCATAATCAAGCACTATCAAAGTCAAACATTTATTGCTCCATTCTTTCGTGCTGCATCTCTTATCAATATAACATTTTCTTCAGTGTTAACAAACACAGTCTTTCTCATTAAGATATATTCAGAGCCCAGATGTAAAATCACTTTTAATCTATTACTTCAAATAAGTCAAAATACCCCTAAATTCTTCGACAGCTTGCTCAATCTCTTTCTCCTAGAAACAGAAGCCACCTGTCTTAACTTCACCCTTCAACACCCTATTTCAGTTCTACCCATCATGTTTCATTTAAAGTAAGACCAGTTCCTGAATCCCAATGAATGCAAAGTGCAGAAAAAGAATTCTGAATTTTTCCCCATGATATTTCCCCATGATATTCATTCATCCCCATGAAATTCAAGTTTATTCCTAAATATACACAAAAAACACTATATTTATCTTCCTGTAAGTCCTTTCTTTCTTATGCTGCCTGAAAAATATAAACCTTAACAGCAGCTGGAGTTTTGGAGTGTTGAAACTAGTGGCCACTGTGATGACCAACATTTCCCAATTGTTTTACTGTTTTCCAAGTTAATCTATATACACTTGCTGTCTATAATCTGATGTACCAATTGTAAACTTTTTGAGGAAAGCATTATCTTTACAAGTCTTTACTAGGACAAGTGGACCTTGGTCCATTAGTAATCATTCCCAGTGTTATTATAGTAATTATAAATACCACCATCCATATGAAAATGGCCATTGGGAAGTGAAACAGAACAAACAATCAAGAAACCAAAATAAATTTCTAATATCTAGTTGGGAGGTAAGCTTCAGTCTACAGATCTGAAATGACTGACATATCCTAAACAGGATATACTTCCCCCTCAGTTCTCTACTGAGGAATTAGTCATTAATGCCTCTTATTAAGATACTTGCTTCTCCCAAAAGGAGAATATTCAAGAGATGCAGCAGCATCTATTGTCCTCCATGAAAGAGGACAGAATTCTGTTCTAATTTTATCATATTCCACACTATGTTCCTTTTCCAAAAAAGGAAGAATGTATGATTATTTGCAAAAATCACCTATTCCATTCACATTTTGATGAAGGATACAAAAAACTGTTTTCAGTAACAACAAAACAAATAAACTCATACTGTAGAGTTCAACAAGGATGCAGCACATAAATACCAGCTCACAATAATTCAGGTTAAAAAAAAATCCGGGTGTGTGCGTAAAAGCAGGAATTCCTGCAGTAAATACCACACATACGAACCTTTTAAAAGGAATTAGTATGAGTTTCCACAGCATTTTTTTTTCTGGACCTGGAATACAAGTGATGAACTTCTAAATAACAGTAAATAGAATATTTTGCCAAATTGTCAAGACAGTTCACTTTCTTGAGAGACGCATGAGAATTTTCAAATTAAAACTGGAAATTGCCAAACATACATATTTTTTATCTAGACTCCAACAGCAAATTTCATGTCCCTTTTACTGTCTAGTAAAAAAATGTACCAAAAAAAAGCCTACCACAACTAAAGGTTTACCAATTAAGATTTTCTAACCCATCTATAGTATTGATGCCACAAAAGTGTAAAACATAAAAACTTGCAGGCTGCTTCTCCTGAATAAATATCAAATATTCTAGACATTCCCAAAGATTTCCATTTAGCTTCCCCTATTCAAGTGTGCAGTCAAATTTGGTAGTAGCAAATGGAATTTTTGATCGAGAGCCTGTGCTGGTTTTGGATTTGTACTGGAACCAGTATGGATAATACAGGAATGTTTTAGTTATTGCTGAGCAGTGCCTGCACAGAGCCAAGGCCTTTTCTGCTTCTCACAGCATCCCTCCAGCAAGTAGCCTGGAGGTGCACAAGAAGCTGGGAGGGGACACAGCTGGGACAGCTGACCCCAACTGACCAAGCGGATATTTCATACCATACGACATCATGCTCAGCAATAAAACTAGTAGTGTTGCTTAGTTGCTGGCAAACTGGGTAATAGTTGTCTTGACCACCGTGAAAAAATTTCTTACCTTTGTGTTGGCGCATGCTTTCCCCTTCTTATAGTCCTTATGGCTGCCTCTTTTATCCAATTTGGCCCACAAGGCTTTGGCTTTCCAGTAATTTAGCTTGGACTTGAGTGTGTGATAGAAAGAACGATAGTCCTTGGGCTTTAGTTCTAGGTAGTCACAGAGCTCTTGGAAAGCCTTGAGAGTCCCCTTGCAGGTTGAAGCCTGGACAAATCTGTCAAAGAGAACATGAGCCTGGTTCACCTTCTCATTCTTACTTTCCTCCATGCTTCACACTTTGCAGCTGCCCTGAGGGGCAGCTATTCTCTTCCAGTCTGCCAGATTTCCTGATGTTTCTCTGCTGAGCCACTTTCACTTCTGGCTTACAAGCATTATTAACCTATAAAATAAAAAGAAGAAAACATAACTAAGTTTGCTCTTTTTTTCCTTTATATAATTTTGTCTAAGCCTGCT